ACTGAAAAAAAAATGTAAAATACGGGTCACTTTCAGAAATTCAAAAACAGGAACAAATAATAAGAAATTGAAAATATAATGTACTTTTTGTAGTGATTAATGTCCAGGACCTTTAGGACTTGAACCTTCCTCTCTTTTTTCAATGGTTCTTATAGGAGCTGCTTGAGAAATAACGACAAGCAACAAAAAGATTGCAAGAAACAAATTTAATTTCATGATGCCTTTAGGAAGAAGGAAGTGTTTAATGGTATAGGATTTTAAAAGTTGTTCAAGAATGAAAGAATGAAAGTTTTATATAGATTAATGAATTATTTTTTTATTTTTTTGATAGAATGAAGATGGAAATGCGATAAAATTCTGAAAATATTTATATTGTCGAATTGAGATTGAAAAATTTTCTTTTGCCATAATCAGATACTTCCGATAATTTAATTATTTTAATTAATTTAATTAATTGAATAATTTTAAAATTCAAAAATGTTTATCCATAAAATAGATTTAGGTTAATTTTTTTTGACGCAGCGGATTGGCCTTTGTATACTACCAACTGATGTGAAGCATAAAATCCAAATTGGTTTATAACACAAAACACAATATGTATTGCCTGCTGTCAGTTCATAGTTTCAATAGTCAATACATGCAGAACAGAACTGCTTTTGTTGAATTTGTGCCTATCTCCTAATTTATAGATCAATGGTCAAATTTTTAATGTAGTAGAGGCTCAGATAAGATAATTATATTCTTTTTATTTTTATGCCTAATTCTCTAAGCATCTTAACTACATTAGTTTCCTCCTTTAACCCTTTTTGACTTTGACCTACGAGGTAATGATTAACCCTTCTCAGTTGCTAGACCTGCATTTCTAAGACCAAATTAGCTAAAGTTTGAGAAGGTTTCAGTCACAAAATTAGTTCTGACAGGACCGAGTAACCATCTTTAGTAATATGTAATTTAACGTAAAATGATAATTGGTGTATTACTATAATGGACGATCAAAGGTTCTCTTGTTCAAAGATCATCAAAACGCATACACTAATTTGGCAAAATTAAGGTTTTAAATAATCTACTGGATTATGAGTACAGTCGGACCTCTATATACTGATATACTATTAAAAACTTTATATACTGATAAAATTTTATTTACCCACTATATTTGAGGTCATATAAATATCGGTATAATTTGATATAACGATATTTTTAAAAAAAAATTCTATATGTCCTGACATATCGTTATATAGAGGTTTGACTGTATAAGATACCTCGCGAAAAAATGGCATTTATATGCTTTTTTTTTAATTATTAAAAAAAAATATCTATTTTTACTATCATGGCGAAGGCGAAATGTCGGGCTGCTGTTTTGAATTTTTTTTTTTATAACTTTTAGTTATTAACCTTTTTTTAGATCCATATCTTTTTTTTCAAAGATATAAAAAAAAAAATTTTTTTTTTATTAAAATTTTTTTTTTAATGATTATATTTCATTTGTTTTAATTAATTTTCGATTTGTTTTTTTATATTTTTATAAAATAAAAAATTACTAGCTAGAATGAGGGTCGCATATTTTTTAATTTGAAATGCGAAGCCATTTTTTTTATTCTCAATAGGATTCTAAAGATCGGAAGCCACATCTCAACAAATTTTTGTAACAGGTCCCTATTAGTAGTGAGTAATGATATGCAGTATATTGTGGCATATATATATTTTAATAAAAAAACCCCCAAATGTATGTAAGTCAATCATTCAATTAAATCAATTACAACTCTAGACAGTAAAATAAGCAATAATTGAACGTCACGAAGGTCGGGAGCGTCAATTATTGCATTTAACAATAATTTTGAATTTAAAAATTAAATGTCTGATTTATACAATAAAATTCTCGAAGCAGTATATTTGGGTTGCATTATACTTATGGCAGTCATTCAATAAACAGAAATTAAAAAAAATATGATGTAACGTTAGGGTGGTAGATATTAAAATTTATTGTTGATCGATTTTCGTATAGTTTAAATTAAAATAAGAAGTTAAATTCAACGAAATTATAACTCTGAATTCTTCTTGCTATTCCTTCTCCAAATTTTGTAAAAACATTCTAAATGACCACTTTATTGACGTAACAGAGCGATATTTTTTAAAAAGTAAATTTCTATTACAAAAATAGCAAAAATAATACTACAGGTACGGCTAAAAAATGTATTCATTAGGTTTCTCAAAAAAGCGCTCTGTCACATTATTCTTTACGTTATAATCTATCGACTTACAGTTTTTATTTATTTGAATTCTAATTTAGAAAAAAGTTATCAAATTTTTAAAAAATTAGGATTTTTACCAACAAAATGTCTCTAAGATCAAGACGTGATTGTCAAGCTCGTGAAATCAAATCCAAAAAATCAGTAAAGAAAAATAAAATTACAAAGGAATGACAAGCTCTTCACAAAACAGTCAATAAATTATCAGAAACTGAAATTAAACCTTCTCATCATTTATTAAGAAAAATGCGCTATTCAAAAGGTCTTCAAAAAGGACAATTATTATCTTCATATTTACAAGACAAGGCATTACTATTTGTTGAAGATACTCTTTATAAAGATTTACAAAAATTGTCATAAAAATAAACAACTAATTCATAAAACACAATCTTTAGGATCAACAACACGCCATTTAAACCAAAAAAAAATCATATTTCAGCAATTCGCTCACTAATTAAAAATCATGTTAAATCATTATTTAAAGAAAATAAAAAATAATATTCAGCAAATGCAATTTGGTTGGCAATACAAATGACACAAATTGGACAAGTTTCTATGCGATCAACAGTAGAATGTATGAAATTAGTGTGAGTTTTTAATTGGAGCCACCTAAAACTTGGTTATCGCATGGCATTTTGGCTACATAGCATAAAGATATTTCAACTTCCCAAATAGATTTACTTCTTTTGGAAATCAAGAATGCTAATAGCTATGACATAATGGTGGATGAATCAAAACATAATGGAATTAAAAAATTTTAGTTTGTTTTATGTTTTGGAGCATAATTCAAAAACAAACCACTTGCAATGATGACCCATCTTGAAATATTGATAGTTGTAATGGTAAAACAATATCACAAACGGTTCAAAGAGTACTTAAGGATGCTTATATTGATATTAAGAAATGCTCAGTATAGTTAACAGATAATACAGCATATATGTCAGGTAATCAAAATGGAGTAATTGTACTTTTTAACAAAGAAACAAATTCTAATGTTATACGAATTGGATGTGAGTTGCATATAATGCATATTGTATATAACAACTTTAATATAATAAAGTCAGAACTCGATATAATGAACCCTCCGGTTTGATGATTTTGGTTCGTTATAATGAGGATTCAAAAAAACGAGTTTTTCTTAATATACCGATTTAAATAGTAAATAATGTAAAAATTCGCTATACAGAGAAATTATTAAAAAAATTTTATGTTGTATTGCATGAATATATTATTTGTTAAAATATTCCCATAAAGTTCCATTATTGTAAATTATTTTCAAAAAAAAAAATTTCTAATTAAAAGTTAATAAATTCATCCATATTTAATTGGATTGAAGTTTCTGAATTATATCTCAATACCTTACGCTTAATACCTTTTAAGATTCTCAGTTCTTCATTAGTCACTTCAAAATTTTCCGGTGGAAATTATGTAAATTAATTAAGTTTTCTATATTAACCAATGCTTCTGTCAAGGAAATGACAGAAATAATTTCTTCTTCATCTTGCAAATCATCTGCATTTGGGTTTGGTCTTACTGTTTCAACAATTAGCATTTATATAATCTAATGCAGATAATGGATCATCAAATGGTAATTTTCTAATCGCATCTTCCAAATCCTTTTGATCTTCTTTTTTAATCAACTTAATAATAGTATTAACATCATCTTTCTCATCATTACCTTTCTCATCCGATTCATCACCTTTAGATTGTAGAATTCCAGTTTTTATCCAGCAGTTTTTAATTGTAGTTGATTCAACTTAGTTTCATGTTTCTACAACAAAATCAATTGCATTACGGATTATAACAGGTGCTGCTTGATTATTTAGCTCTTGTGTAAGATCATATGCTTCAACTCTGTATTCTACTAAGAGTTTTCAATATTTGGCTTTAAATGAGTTAATAATTCCAGCGTCTAAGGGTTATAGATGCGCGTTGGTATTTAGTGGTAAATAAAATAATTCAATTTTACTAAAAGAAGGAATTTCATCTTCTTTTCCATAAGTAAGAGCGTTATCTACTAATAAAAGAATGTTTTTCCTTTGAGCACGTATTAAACTATTTAAATTTTTTAAATAGTCTAACCAAATTGACTGTTACATCCATGCAGTCTTATTCCAATAATAATCTACACTATCTTTGACAGATATACCATGAAGGGGTCGAGTATTTTTATACTTATGTATGAATAATGGCTTGAGTTTATCTTCATCTGTAGTATTGCATGTTAATAAAATAGTAACTCTATTTTTGGATTTTTTAGTTCCAATTACAGGATCTTGTACAAGTGTTTTTGAAGGTTCTAATTGCCAGAAAAGAGTTGGATAAAAAAAAAATAAAGATTTAATATAAAAAAGTTTTTAAAATTAATTGGTTTAGAATACCTGTTTCGTCACAGTTGTAAATATCTTGCAAATAATATTCAGATAATTTTTCGGCAATTGTTGTCTGGTATTCATTAAGCTTATCAATATCAGGTGCACTAGTAGCCTCACCCAATTTAACATATAATCAAAGATTATTCTTTTTTTAAAATTAGTTAACTAACCTGCAAATGCATTGAATCCTGTAATGCCAAATTTATTCGCAAACAAATTGGCATTTTGTTGTAATATATCTCCACATAATGTTTAATTCATAGACAAACTGAGACATCTAAATACTAACTGCCTCATCTATTTCTTTATACATTAGTTCTCAAAACCTTTTCCTATCCTGTTCAGAACTAGAAATAGATAAATATTCAGACTTTCTTTTTAAAATATCACTAACTGTATTAAGCTTAATATTGTAATATTCAGCAAGTTCAGTATTTAACATAGATGGATTATCAGCTTTTTTAAGATAAAGTTCTTTCTTTTGTCCTATAGATAAAGTAACATGTTTTTTTTCAGAAGACATAGCAAAGTATGATTAAAAGAAATGATGATTTTTTGATCTACAGTAACAAATATTTATAATTTGATCAATTAACACTTATTATATTGCTAATTGCTATATTAAGAATAATCCATTATATACTGAAAAATATTTTATCTTTATATTGATGATCGTTAAATAAAATAAGAAATCTTTTTTTTATAATGATGATTAGTAAATTGAGAGAAAAATTATTATCGGTTAATTGCTGTCACTGGGAATAATCTTCTCTTATTACTTCACATAATTTGTCTAAGTTCCTTTACTGTGGTAAGTAACTTCCTTATCATTAGACTTTATAACTTTAGGGAATCTTACGTCCTACAGGTATCCGGAATGCCTTGGAATTACTTCACTTGACTTTATGAACTTAAGGGTTTAGGGACTTAGGAATTAAGAGAATTTATATATTCTAAGTGACGAACTCAATCACAAGTTAGTATAGTGATTCATGATCAAATCCTAGATAATGAACATGTAGAAGGGAAATGTATTTTTGTTTTAAAAGTTGATTCCTTTATTACTTGAACTTGTAATAAAACTGAAACTTGCAATAGAGTTTTAAAACTTGTAAAAGAGTTAATTTACAACTTAAGCAAAAAGCTATTCTATTTATACAAAATGAATTTGCTACGGCTAACTAATTGCTACGCTATAAACTAACTAAATTTGTAAATATAAATGTTAAAACAATGATTATAATATATATAAGAAATATAAGAAATATAATAAAAATAACATATATAATAATAATAAGAAAAATAATAAATATAATGAATATAATTAAAATAATGAAAATAAAGGAAATCAGGCTAATCCTACGAATCAGGCTGATCAGACGAATCAGGGAAATCAGGAATTATGCAGATCTTCTAATTTGTGATCGACATAAATTAATTTCAATAACTTCTGTAGATCATTTAATAATTCTTTGTAGATCAACTTTTCAATAATGAATTTTTAGCTGGTAACAATGGGTATATAACTATTCAACTAATAAAAACATGCGATTTTTATTACATGAAAAGTAATTTCTTCATGCAATTGCACTGAAATTTTATAAAATGTGTTTTTATATAAATTGAACAATAAAATCTATATACGTGATTTATAATATTAAAACATTATTCAAAAGCATTTAGTTGCTATTTTATTTTATGTTTAAATAAAAAAAAATGCCACTTTTTTCTAAACAAAAAAGGAAATCAAAAGATCAGCTACACACAAAAAATGGCAAATACTATAAAAGAATACGATATACAAGCATGAATGAGCATAATTTACCAGATATTTCAATGTCAGTTAATGATAATTGTATAAATGTAAAAGATTTCCAAACTAAAATAAGTAGCGCAGTTACTGCAGCTTACGAAAATGGTGATAGTGGTAATGAATATATCGATCTTGATTTGAATTTCTTAATGGGATGATGACGAAGATAATGATAGGAATGATACTGATGATTTTACAGAGTTAAAGGAAACCAAATTGGTTTGAAAAAAAGATAATCAATTTGAAAAAATAAAGCTTAGAATATATATAAAAGGAATGATCCCAAATTCAACTTATTATGATAAATAGGATTCCGCAATTCGATTTGATATTTGAATATTTGATTTGAAAATCAAATCAAATACAAATTCAAATTTATATTT